CTATGAAGACAAACATGAATGAAACGGTCTCAATCTAAGGGAGGAACATCAAATGGACCAAATTTGGGAACCGGATGAGGTAAGGAGTCTGAAATGTACCTATGTGCCTCCACAGTGTCGGAACTCACTTGTAGTGTATAAGATCAACTAGATGGACCCTTACTTACCCAAACATGGATTAATAGCTTCTACTCATGACTATGAGGACAAACATGAGCGAAACGGTCTCAATCCAAGGGATGAACATCAAATGGACCAAATTTTGGAACCGGAAGAGGTAAGGAGTCCGAAATGTACCTCTGTGACTCCAGATTGAGGTAACTCACTTGTAGTGTATAAGATGAACTAGATGGTTCCATTCTTACCCAAACATGGATTAATAGCTTCTACACATGACTATGAGGACAAACATGACTGAAACGGTCTCAATCCAACGGAGGAACATCAAATGGACCAAATTTGGGAACCATAAGAGGTAAGGAGTCTGAAATGTACCTCTGTGCCTCCACATTGTGAACTCACTTGTAGTGTATAAGATGAACTAGATGGAGCTAGACTTACCCAAACATGGATTAATAGGTTCTACACATTACTATGAGGACAAACATGAGTGAAACGGTCTCAATCCAAGGGAGGAACATCAAATGGACCAAATTTAGGAACCAGAAGAGGTAATGAGTCTGAAATGTACCTATGTGCCTCCACATTGTAGGATCTAACTTGTAGTGTATAAATGGAACTAGATGGACCCATACTTACCTAAACATGGATTTATAGGTTCTCCACATTACTATGAGGACAAACATGAGTGAAACGGTGTCAATCTAAGGGAGGAACATCAAATGGACTAAATTTGGGAACCGTAAGAGGTAAGGAGTCCGAAATGTACCTCTGTGCCTCCACATTGTCGGATCTCACTTGTAGTGTATAAGATGAACTAGATGGACCCTTACTTACCAAAACATGGATTAATAAGTTCTCCACATTATTATGAGGACAAACCTGAGTGAAACAATCTCATTCCAAGGGAGGAACATCAAATGGACCAAATTTGGGAACCGGAAGAGTCTGTGAAGAAACAATCTGCTGGTGAACTTCGTCTTCACAAAGGTTTAATCTTTACTCTTCTCTCTCCGTTTCGTTTTTTGCTTTTTTGATGCAATTCGGCTTTCTTAGGAATTGTACTGATATTTTATCTGCTGCTCTTGGGATCTTTGATTGTGTGTAGATATAACAGAGCTGAATCTGCCAAAGTCTTGTGCGATATCTTTTCCTAATGGAAAGAGTGATTTGATGAACTTTGAAGTAACCATTAAGCCAGACGAAGGATATTACAAGTAAGTGTAATCTTGATTTACCCTTTAGGCTCTCGGCTACTGAGTTTTGATCCAACACTCATTCGTTCTTCTTTTTTTTTTCACCGGAAACAGAGGTGGTAAGTTTGTTTTTACATTCCAAGTCTCTCCACTGTATCCACATGAAGCTCCAAAAGTCAAATGCAGGAGCAAGGTTAGGCTCTCTCTCTCTCTCTCTCCAAGCTCTGAAACATGTAGATGGTCTTGTGGTATATGTGCTTATAATGAATTGTATATATGATTGTGTAGGTGTATCATCCGAATATTGATTTGGAAGGGAGTGTTTGTTTGAACATCTTGCGTGAAGATTGGAAACCGGTTCTCAACATTAACACGGTTATCTACGGTCTATTCCATCTCTTCACGGTAAAAACCAAAATCTCATTGACAAGCAAGACACTTACTCCATTGATTCTACTTTCTTGAGGACTTAAAAGAGTGTTTATGTTTTGATACAGGAACCCAATTACGAGGATCCTCTGAACCACGACGCTGCAGCGGTTTTAAGAGATAACCCGAAGTTGTTCGAGTCTAACGTCAAGAGGGCTATGAGTGGTGGCCATATTGGTGACACCTCATTCCCTCGTTGCATGTAAGGTTTTGTTCAATGAACTCAGTGTTGCTTTCTTCTTGTCAAGAAACTTATTTTGTTGCTCTTTTGTACATTTGCCTTGATATTGGGATCAAGTGATTTAGGTCTTTCCTTATTTTTTAAGAAATATTTCAACTTAGTCATCTGATTTGATGATATAAATGAAATTTATTTCGAATAAAATATAGTAAACATTATAATAACCGGTGATAAAAGCTAATCCAAAAATAGAACAATTGTGACAGCATAATATAATAAATCTTTCATATCATCTCTACTTCACTTGAAGTTGTAGTTCTATCAGTTTTTCGATCTTTACGAAAAATGAAATGTAAAGGTGTGTAACAAAGACAGCACAATGCAAACGGGACAGCCATCATCCACATGATCCCCTTTGACAAAGCCTCGGCCTCACGACCAGAGTCTTTCACATTATTTGTGTCGAATCCGAAAACTTTCTCCGACATGATCCCAACCAAAGGAGCACCAAACGAGGCAAAAGTCACTTCGATTGCACGATCAAAGGCATAGACCATGGTTCGATGCGTAGGAGGAACGATCTCTGCCAAGATGGGAGAGTTGATGGCTGGTCCACACCAAGTTATGGTGAGACCCATTAGGAAGAGAGTGATCATGTAGATGTAGTAGCTGTTAGTGGACTGTGGGATTATTCTTAGAAGAATAACGGAGAATACAGCTCCCATGAAAACGCTGAATTGTGCACAGCTCAATCTGCCTGAGTTTGGAAACACACGAGACATTTTGTCTGCAATTATTCCTCCGACTAAAGATCCTATTGCTTGTCCACTGGTGAATATTCCGTTCAGAAGCGCCGCCTGATTATGACTAAAGCCTGGTGAAACAAAATAAAACCACTTTGAGATTAACACAAAGATCATCTATAATGGTGCATGTTAAACATTTGGTTTATTCAACTAGAATTGTCCAGAAAATGCATACCAATGAGTTCGAACCACATTGTCCAGAAAACCATTGCATTCCATGGAACCGAACCTATGATTCCCTGAAATACTATGATCTGAAATGTTCGTAATTTGGTTACATCTTTTATGGCCACCCAAGATTCCATCCAAACCGAGCTGGAACTCTCCTTTGTTTCAGCAGCAGCAGCATCAGCATTATTTTCACCTCTACAAAAACCGCATCACGAACTCAAAACTTGGTGCTATAAACAAGAATGTAAAGATTTATATATATTTATTACGTACCGTTCATGATCAGGAACAATGTAGGTGCTAGTTTTCTTCTCCCTCGGGTCAGTGACAAAGAAGAAAACAAGAAACCCTATCATCGTACTCAGCGTTGCACTCAATAGATAAGCACATCGCCATCCTGAGATTCCGTAGAAAACATGACCGGCCATGATCGTTGGCACGACCGTTCCACCTATGCCTCCAACCGTACCGATGAGATTCCATAAACCAAAGCCAAAACCTCTTGCACTATCCTTAAAGCTGTCCGCAATTACCGACTGAAGCACTGGATAAACAATTGCATGTCCGACTCCATTGAAACCCGCACCAATCGTAACCTATAGTCCACGAAACAAGATCAAATCAATCAAACATATATAATATATATAACCATTTATCCCGTCCTAATAAAATTTACTTTTATCCATTAGACATGATTTTCAGAGTTGCGTTTCAGTCAAGTAACCAGGGTCTTTACTTTTCTTCTTCTTTTTTTTTTTTTTTTTTCCTTTATAGATTTTCAGGAAAAGTCTTGGCAAAAACAAACGTTAGCCTAGATAAAGAAGTTAAAAAATATCATTTTGTGTGTGTGTATTCAAAAACCATTTTAAATAAGAAATATCTCATGGAAAATGAACTTTTTAAAAATAAATATGACATAAAATGCAAAAATAATTTATTTTTTTGTGCATGTTCGCAAAAATGATATGAATGAACTTTGGTGCAAAAGTTTAGACCTGGCTGAAGTAGCGGCTGACTCCAGTTGCAACAGTTGATGAGACCCAAAAGAAACTACCGAACGCAAAAACCGTGGGACGGTCATAGCTGACTGCTAATAGACCGGCTAAAGGCGAAGCAAGTCCTTGAAAGAAATTTCTTATAAAGGAGAGGAATCCAATACTAGAGAGATTAGCATGAAACGCTTCTTTCAGTTCTTTAGCAGTCGAAGGAATGAGTTTTTCGTCTGCTCTTTGCATCATTGTGGCTAAGTAGATGATAATGAGAGATATAGAGATCCCACAGATGGTCCCTGTTCTATGATATTAATTATCAAGCATACAAAACAAATCAACAACGTAATTGTTACACATTGTACGAAAACTATCGATAGATAGATAAATGTACAATTAGTGGCCTAGTTAACACTACGCAAGTAAGTATAACGTTATTTTCAACCGAAGAAATCGATAGTTGCTTACTTGAGTTTCATGGTGTTAGTATGAAGACGACTAAAGCATAGAAATGAAGAAATTCTCAATGAATTTGATCGTGAATTTTCTAAGAACACACTAATTTCAAAGTAACTACTATTGAAAAAAAGGTATGGGGGTTAATGTTATTTATAGTTGAGTTTGTTTGACTATAAATGACAATAGTCCATTTAACAAGAAAACATGGGATATTTGAGTTATACTTAGGTTCCGAATACTAATGACACAGAGACAAAAAAAATATAAGAAAGCAGAGGAAGAAGATCTATTAAGATTTGATATTTGAGTTTTGTGTGAACAAATCAGCTGTATCTGGCTCAGAAAATCTCAATGCATTAATATTGTTGTCTTTCTTGAAAAATAAAAGCATGTCTATAGATCTTGTTTTTGTCCTATAAAATTTTCTTTTGTGCAACCGTTTTTATCCTAAAGAAACTTTGGAGCTCAAAAATTCAGTATTTATACTTTTAATATTATTTTTCCTGCATGGCCACATGTCACTCACAAAGTGAATAAAGGGTTTTCTGATTTATCGAATCGTAAATATAAATGCAATATATAAAGTATAAACTATTATGCCACAGGTGAAAGTGAAACCAAACAAAACAATCCACTAACATGCTAATGCTCACATCATCTCCATTTCCCTTGAACTCGGAGTAGTGTCGATTTTTCGATCTTTCCTAAAGAGAAAATGTAAAGGAGTGTAACAAAGACAACACAATCCAAACGGGACAGCCATCATCCACATGATCCCTTTCGACAATGCCTCAGCCTCACGACCATAGTCTTTAACATTATCAATTCCTTTTGCGTCGAACCCGAAAACTTTCTCGGACATAATTCCAACCAAGG